TTTCATCATTTTAAGTGAGGTCCAATAAGTTTTATTTATTTATTTATTTATTTTAAAATATTTATTTCCTTATTTTTTTATTTCTTCTTTCTTGTACCAAAACCCCCCTAACAGTGGTTCGACGTCGGTTCCATCTTTTTTATAATTGGAACCAACGGTTTTAAAACTGAAATCGATGTTATTTTAAAAGAAATCAAATTAGAAATTTTATTAAAAGAAAACTGTATACATATATGAGAATATATATCTATCAATATGTTTCTATATTTTATGCAAAAAGTCTAATAATAAACCAATTATATAAATAATAAAAAATGTAATCTTGATTTGAAGCATTTGATTGAGCATAATATTTATGCCATAAGCGATCGCTTGCTCACTTGAATGGCCACCGTTCAAATTTTTTCTTTCTATTAGAGAAAAGATCCACACTTGTTTCTGCATAACTATCTAAATAATAAAAGACCCTAGACAAAATCATTAAAATGATCATAACAATAACTAAAAACTAGATCTGAGAATAAAATCTCAAGATATGAGTAATAATAAATCCTAATATTTGGGAGACAATAACTCGAATTTATTTACATTAAATCATGATCATACCTATAGTGAATACTTCAACTAATAAAGTTAAATCTATTAAATACTTTAAATTATAAAATTATTTTATTAAACAATTTTACTTGCAAAAATCAGAGCAATTAAACACCTATTAAATAGTTTACAAACTTAAAAATTATAATTATAGAAGTTATCTACACAATAAATCAATACTTTTACATATAAAAACCAAAAAATAATATAAAAAAATATACAATATTATTAAAATTTATAAATTCAATTGCAAAATTATAAAATTAAATTCCTAAAGTTGAGGGTTATAGATATAATTGGATATTCATTCAAAGATTGTTCTTGTTCACATGTTGTGCATTTAGATTTGTGCTAGTATGAGACAAAAGCCTAACCCTAGCTCTTTGTAAACAGTGAGTGTGAAAAAGGAAAAGTAGAAAGAGAGAGAGAGAGAGAGAGAGAGAGAGAGAGAGAGGGTCACATGGAGGAAGAAGAGAGAACATGTGATGCAATGCATAACTTGTCCACTGCCAATTTCTGAGTGGGTCATATTTGGAATAGAATCTTCCTCATTATTTATTCAAAATTATTTTTATTTTCCCTTCCAAAGGTCTCATATTTAGAGGACCAACCAATCATTGTTTAACACACTAGCATTTATGTTTTAAAATTTGATTATTTCTGAAAATAGAACTACTGTATTTCTTTTTCCAGCCATTTTCAATCCCTAGAAAATAGAGTCATTCAAGAAAAAAACCCTACTTTTAATGAGGGAGGCAAAAAATAAAAAGCAAAAGTACAATGAAATTACTTATTCTCTTTTTTTTATTTCTAAAAAAAAAATTATATACTTTTCTTATTTTTGATTTTGAAAATTATTTCTAAAAAAATAGTATTCAAATTACTTATTTTTAATTCTTAGTTTAATGATGAATTTTATTGCAAACCTATTTTCTTTGTATAATAAATTCTGTATTAATTTTTAAAATAAAATAAAAATTCATTTGTATTTATAAATTATTTTTAGGAAATATAAATTATTTCCAAAAAAATCATTCCCACTTTAGATATTAATGTGGATTGACCGTTCTAATATTTTCTTATCGAATTGGAAAAAATATAAAAAATTAATATTTAATTAGAAATATTAAATATAATTTTTTGAATAGTTAGCATTGACTTGTTTTCGTGCTAATTTTTAGATTGATTATGTAATAAAAAAAGCAATTATTTTTCATTTTAAATGAAACAAAAATTCAGAAAGATAAAACTTTTTTTTTTATTTATAGATACAATAAATAAAAATTTTCATCAACAATATTAGAGTTGTTTTTAAAAAATTGAAAAGCATTCGAATTAATTTCATTTCATGATATCGGAAACAAAATTATTTAAATTTAAATACCAGAAATTATTCAAATACTATAGTTGAAAGTGATAATCTTCTAGCTTTTCAGGTCGTGCAAGGAATCACAGATTCTCTAGTTATGTTGAGATGATTGGTTCTTCAAATTCAGCAACCTTGTGTAATCTCTCATATCTTTGGAGGCAAATGTTTAAGTTGATTGACTTCTAAATATACATGTTTCTCGTAGATTTTGATGTTTATATTTTAAGTTGCAGTCACATAGATGCAGAACGCGAGATACATCATCATATAGATAAGAGATACGATCATTTTTTAAAAATAAAATACCGATACATTTAGAATGCACTAAACTAAATAGATATATTTATAAAATTCAAATAAGTAAATAGTCATTAATATAAAATAAAAAAATATTTAATTGCCTATTTTACATCTATAGTTATATTCTTAACGTTAATGATAGTTCATATCTGATTTATTTAGAAATAAATTAACAATTTCAAGAATTTGGATATTTTAAAAAAGTCAAGTCATTTACCTTAATATCGTTATTCAACATAATAATGTCAACTTTTTTATGATGAAAGTCTTGTGAATTATTAATTTCAAATTAATGTTTTATAAATTGTAAATCATAAGATAGCAATTTTCCTTCCTTTGTTTATCTTTTAATTTTATATTTTAAGTATAAGTAGTTATCTAATATATATTTATGACAATAATTTAAATTTTTTATCAATGAAAATTTTTAAAGGTGTCCTAATTAATTAAAGTGTTCAGGAAACTTTCACCAAACCTGTTAGAGCTGTACTTAAAATATCCAAAACTAATAATAATTTAAAAAAAAAAAAAGGATATGTTTTTAAAAGTGTTTGACACGTGTCTAGAAATGTCTGAGTGATATCAGTATCTGGTACCATGTAATATTTGGGTAAATTGAAACTTTTAATTAAGGTGTATGTGAAAAATAATTTTTTCTTCTAAATCTCACATGTATTGAAAAAAAAAATTGATATTGGAAGAGTTGTGAAAATTGAGAAGTTATAAATTGAAAGACAAAGATAAATTTTAGAAAAAGAAAGAAAAAGGAATCATCTAGCTGTATGTTAATGAGCCCAATGCAGAGTGAGAGTGCTCCTTTTTACTGGCAACAAGAGAAGAGAGCAGAGACCAAATTATACCAACTTGTGCAGATTTTTTAAATTCAACTCATCAGAGTATAAATTAATTAATTAATTAAGATTTCTGTTCTGTTCTCCTTGATGGTAGCAAGGAACTAATTTATTTTAGTGGTCACAACCTTCCAAGTTTCACTTCTACAGAAGAATATAATGTCTCTCCTTGGGAGTGTAAAAGAGTTTGGAATTATATATGTTTTTGTTTTTTTAATTAATTAATTAATGAAAACACTAATTTATTAATGCAAATTTATGGATTCATTCACACGTCACCAAAGACAATAGCGCATTGTAAATTTACTAAACACCCGTTTGATTTAATTGTTTATAACAGCTGATAACAATTACTGATAATTAATAATAATTAGCTAATTAACTTATTCGAGACTCGATTCAATAAAAATACCGCTTTTAAAATCCATTTTCTAAATAATCAAATTTGAACCTGATTCTTGAGCAAGATTAACTTGAACTTGAAATCATCTCAAATCATTAAAGGTCGTAAACTAGTTTATTTATTAGGCTTGTTAATTGACTCGTTTACAAGATTCTCTTATACTCCAAAAGTATTTTAGGTTATTATATTAATAATTAATATTTTTTGATATAATCAGGAGGTGTAATCTCCTTGAACCGTAAAGTGTAAATGATTAGTATAATTGATTAGTAGAATATTAATTTTATTAATTATTATAGTACATAAAAAAAGGATTGTAAATTTTAATTTTCAATATAAATTCTTCTAAAAAAACATATTTTAATTTTACCTCATAATTAAGTAAAATTATTTTTTAGCCCTTCTAACTATTTGGATTGATTTAATTTGAGATTCATAAAATATAATATAAAATCCACAAGAAACTTTTCAACTATGTCTTGGATTCATATGGACATAATTCAGAAATAAGCATATGATTTTGGATCTTTATGTCTGGGAGAAAAATGTAATTTCCACTAGCTTCCTTTGCTAAGCCCAAGTATTTGTAACCTTTTTTAATTCGAAAAAAAAAAATACATATTATATAACAAAACTGAGTCTAAGGTTGAAGCAACTTAAATAGGCCTTTTTTTATTATTTTTTTCAAACTCAATTGATACTCATATTTAAAAAAAAAAAGAAAAAAAATTAAATATTAAAATTATATAAATTTTAATTAATAAAATAGACCGGGTGGGTCTAACTCATTTTTCAAAAGTTAACTCAAGAGGAGAAATATTGTCTAAGTCTTATTATATTTTTGAATAAAGACTATATTGCTTAAAAATGTGGAATAAAAAAAAATAACAGGTTACAGGAGAAAATATAAAAGATAAATGATAAATAAATAAAAAAAAAGAGAAAAGACGAATAGGAGACAAGAAAAAAAAATATAAAAGAAAATATATTATGAGCAATTGATACACAAAATACTTAATTCAACTTAATTTTATAACCTTGGAACACTTTAGATTAATACGTTTGAATTTAAATTTTAATTCAATTTTTAAAATAATTATTACTAAGACATAATTGTGAAATATATTTAAAAATTAATAACACTTAAATGTTTGATTAAACTCATAAATTACTAAAATTTTAAAAAGATATTTAAAAGAGTATATACACACACACACGAGAGGCCATTGGATATTCCACAAAGTAGAATATGAGAGTTAAAGATGCATATTCCACCATACATACATACTGCATCCAAGGGAACAATCAATATCTAATAAATAGCTCATTGGATCTTATTATTTTATACATAGAATAATATAAAATTCTAGAAAAAAAATATTATACATATAAATATTAATTAATCTACTGACATAGTCATATGCTTCTTAAAGTTAGAAACTACAGTGAGAGAAAGAAAGAGGTAATAAAAAAAGATTAGCGATAGCTTTTATTTTAGTGACACGGTCATATGTTTCTGCTTCATAAAGCTAGAAAATTATAATGAGAGAGAGAGAGAGAGAGAGAGAAGAGTTAATATTTTGCTTTAAAAACAGAGAGGAGATGAAGTGAATGTTCCATTTCAAGTAGTAGTAGTGTTCTTGATACCTCTAGCAGCAGTAGAACCAGTGGGTAGTAATGGCATTTATATTGGAGAGATCAAGTAACAGTAGCATCGAAGAGATGGTTTTCTGTGTAGAATCACAAAAAGCAGTTCCTGCTCCTTTTTTAACAAAGACATATCAATTAGTTGATGATCCTCTTACTGATCATATTGTTTCTTGGGGTGATGATCAAACTTCCTTTGTTGTTTGGAGACCTCCTGAGTTTTCTAGAGATCTTCTTCCTAATTACTTCAAGCACAACAATTTCTCAAGCTTTGTTAGGCAACTTAATACCTATGTATGTCATCTCCCTCCCCTCTCCCTCTCTCTTTCTTTCGCTCTGTATATATATAGCTCTCATTTAGATCTCTTTAATTACTTCCATTACTATACATTTTCTCTCAAAATTTCTTTACACATATACTTTTGTATTTCTTCATCAGTATGTTTGTATGTCCTCATTTTGTTTAGACATATTTGATTATATTTTTGCTGAGCTGAACTAAATTAGTTCTTGAATGGTAAATTATATTTGGTTGAATATTTACTTAATAGTAAGTGTATAGTTCTTGTTAAAGTACGTTTATTTATGTATCCTATGTAAAAAGTTGTTTAAGGAGTACTTCTTGCATACATATATATTATGAAATATACGTTCACTTGGGTTTTTTTGTCTTCCAAGAAATTCTTTTTAAATTTCTTTTTTTTTTTGGTATTATACAATAAATTCTTGATATTTGGAAAAGATTATCAAGGTTTGGATTCTGAACTTTTTAGGCTAGGAGGTAAGGAAGTTCATACTTTTTAATTGTTTGTTTTACTAATTTCTTCCATAAAAACATTTTCTAGTTCTTGGGAACCCTAATTATTAATTTTTAACAAGTTTCTCTCTAATCTTGAAAATGTAATTTAATATATTGCAGGGATTCAAGAAAGTAGTTGCAGATAGATGGGAGTTTGCAAATGAGTACTTTAGAAAAGGGGCAAAACACTTACTGTCAGAAATCCACAGGAGAAAAACATCACAAACCCATCACCAACAACAACATTTCCATGATAACCAATCATCATCATTACCTCAAATTCTCCAACAAGATCAAGAAAATTTTGGTTGGAACAATCTTGATTCTTCCTTTCTATGTCCTCCAAAACCTACAAATGACATCTTAACTGCTCTATCAGAAGATAACCAGAGACTTAGAAGAAAAAACTACATGCTTTTATCAGAACTTTCTCATATGAAAACCCTTTATAATGACATTATCTATTTCATTCAAAACCATGTAAAGCCTACAACGCCTAATTATGAGCAAAAGATTACTAATTACAATGCAACTTCTCCAAAGATTGTTGAATTATTGGGTTCTGTTAAAAATAATAATAATAACAATAAATCTTCAATTAGTAGTAATTTAAATGAGGAATCAAATATAAAGCTTTTTGGAGTTTCTCTAAGTGGAAAGAAGAGGGTGCATCAAGAAGTGATTGGTCATCAACAAGAATTGATTTAGTGCATAGTATTTTATGGTGGGGTCTCTTCTTCTAGCTACCTTGATCATTAAAGCTTCTTCCATCTATTTTATTGTAGGCTGCCAGTTGTTTTTGGTTAAGATTGTATCAGAAGAAAAGCTTTTTGTAGATAAGTGGCTCAAGTTTAATATTGGAGGCAATTATAAGCTACTTCATGATATGTCTCTCTTTTGTTATATTTTCTAGAAATAGTTATATAGCCAGCTAATGGAGATTTTATGTTCATCTCTATTCTCTTTTTTTTTTTTTATCTCCTTTAAATATTTTCTTTTTTTAATTAATTGATTACATAAATAAGTAATTAATTAGAATAAGCATGCAAAAATATTGTGAATTCGATATTAAGTTAGCAAATTTAGAAATGGAAGGTTTGTTTATAAGATAAGACTTGCCTATATTTGATGTATTAGTCTACCCATACACTATAAATCAAAGAGATTTCTTAAAAATTATCTATATTTTATTCTTTCTTTTTCAATAAATAGTCATAAAATACCCTTGTTTCAAAAATTTAAAAATATTATATATAATAATATGATAATCACTTTTATACAATCCCATTTTATATGATAATTACTTTATTTTTCATTTCTTTCTAAAAAAGAAAAAACTTTTAGTTTCCTTAAAATAAAATAAAATAAAATTATCAACAAAAATCAACGGCAAACATTTAACCCAGTGGAGACTTCGTGTAGCGAATGAGAGGTCAATTAATCTCATTAAACGTAATTTATTACTTTTTCTAATATTGACCTAGAAAAAAATTTTAGATCCAATACTTAAATCATTCAGGTTCAAGTAAATGTTAAAAGGCGAATGAACATGACGTATCATATATTTACATTTATATAATTTTATTCATTCATTTAAAAATAGCTCAATATATAAATTTGACCATAAACATTGACCGATTCCCCTTATAGCTCCTTGAATTTTGCAGAGATCTAATCATAACTCTGCATTGAATCATAATCAAATTATGTATTAGAGCATTTGAAAATAGTTTTACATATAGGGTGTGAGAGAGAGAGTTTTGGCTATAGGCTAAAAATCTTTTGTATCAAAAAGCATTATTAGCTAGGTTGCATATTAATACAAGTAACTTGTAAAAAGTAAAACAATTGCTTTTCAAGTAGAAGCATTAATATTCTTTTACATGTAAAGTGAAAAAGAAAGGTAATTTCTTATGAACAACTATGCTCTTATCTCTTGGCTTCTATATATGTTTTTGACATTCCATCCTCTTTTCTGATAAAAAGGAAAACAGAAAAAGAAAAAGAAAATATTCTATAATCTAGCTAGTAAAAAATTTGATTATTAATTTCTAAAATTAATAACACTACTGAAATTAGTGTAATGGGAGTATTCTTTTCTATGAACTCACAAGAAAGGAACAAAGGGAAATGGTGATTCAGAGAATGTAAGTGGAAGAGGAGGGTATTGAGCAATCATGTCATGCTTTAAGTTTTGACATTAGAATCTAAAGATTTTACTTTGAGTTTTTTCCCTGAAAAGAAGAAAAGAGAGGACATGGAAAAGAGTGAAACAGTGGCATATTTAGCCATTAGCGCAGGCAATGATAAAAAGATTAAAGAAGACAAGGGGAAAAAATAAATAAAAGGAAGATTTTTTTTGCTTTGGGATTGTTCTGTAATGCTCTTCTTTGTCATGCCTCGATTTTGCTTCCCATCTTTTCCGGTAAGCCTTTTATGCTACAATTCCAACTGGTATTGCCAATTGGGCTGGGCTCGACTAGTAACAAACCAAGGCCTTTGTCATGGTCCATGAAAGAATGAGAGAGATAAAGAAGAGGTGAGAGAGACAGAGACAAATTTGAGGTCGAGAGGAGTAGAACCGACCAATTCACAATTTCTAACTGAAAACTGATTCAAACCAATTTAATTACGTAGGTTTTAATAGTTATTTCAGAAATTCGGTAATTGATCGATTTCATATATAAATTATTAGGTTTTTATTTATTGGTTCGGTTACTATATATAATTAATTAAATTTATTTTAAATCTAAAATAACTAAATTGGTTTGGAATCACCAAGTCTAAATCAAACCAATTGAAACCAGTTTATTTCGGTTTGAATATGTTAGTATACCATTTGATTCGGATTTGGATACCATAAAAACATATTCAAATAAATTAAAACTGAGCTAATTCAGTTTGGTTAACTAAATGCTCACTCCTATAGAAGAGAGAGATTTTCTGTAAAAAAAAAAAAAAAAAAAAAAAAAATTCAGTTTGGTTAACTAAATGCTCACTGTATAGAGAGAGAGATTTCTCATGTAAAAAAAAAAAAAAAAAAAAAAAAAGACAACTCTATCCTCCCATTACATTTGTTGTTCTTTCTTTTTTGGGAATGTTTCAAACTATTTTGCAAAGTTTCTAAATTTGATGCATTTAAATGGTTTTTTCCCATATAATAATCTTTATTAATTTGTTTTCATTAAATAAAGCTTTTATTATTATTCTTTAATGAGTAAAATAAAAAAATTGACAAAATAATTTTTGTGAACTAATTTAAAAAAAAAAAAAAAAAAAAAAAAAACTCTATCCATCCCATTACATTTGTTGTTCTTTCTTTTTGGGATGTTCCAAACTATTTGCAAAGTTTCTAAATTTGTATATTTAAATGGTTTTTTCCCATAATAATCTTTATAATTGTTCATTAAATAAAGCTTTTATTATTATCTTAATGAGTTAAAAATAAAAAAATGACAAAATAATTTTTGTGAACTAAATTTTTAGTATGCGTGTTTTGTCAAACCATACAAACAAAATAGAAAGAGAGAATATAAAAATCAAGTGGCAATACAGTTGGAGTACATTACCGCTAAGCAAATGAAGTTGGAGTATTTTTATGGCTATACAAACGAAGTTGGAGTGCTTTTAAGTTATTTTTGTTCACCCTTTAAATTGAGATGCCATCACAGCTGACGTGATGATTTTTCCCTCCTCTCCTATCTTTTATGATGGCTCGTGATTGAGAACAATTTCAAATTCAAGCCCTAGGGGAGTTCAATTTAAAGTTTGAAGTTTTTTTTTTTTTTTTTAATCTTTGCATAAATTTTGAAGTTTTTAGCTTTGTTGTATTTAATTTTTGAGTAGATACAACAACAATTTATCCATCCACTAACAACATTATACAATTAAGCCCACCCTAGCTTGCACTTGCATTTGCATTTTGCCATGTTTTACAAAGATAGCGGCTAGATATTTATAAAAAAAAAAAAAAAAATTTCTTGCATTGATGTTTTCTTTAATTTTTTCAATAAGGTCTGAATGCTTAGTCTTTGAATAAAATTTTAATTATTAAATGATTATATAGCTCTTGAGTTCGGTTTATTAAAATGATTATGCTGATATAATAGCAATTTTTATTTATTTATTTTTTAGGAATAAAGAATGACTTTCATTAAGAAATACTAAGAATGTTAACATTAACAAAAGGTAAAACAATAGGAGAAACGCACATCAAGAAATAGTCTAGTGATAAATGCATATACAACTTGATAACAGATTCAAATTTGAATCGCGCTCCCATCAATACTAAAAAAAAAAAAAACAATAGGAGAAACCTCCTCTATCCAAATAGCTTCATTTAAGATATTATGACAATAGCTCTCAATGAACATGAATACAATTGAAAGAGAAAGGATATCAACCAGTCTTATAACATATCAGTTTCTAAGATGATCAAATCGAAGGCCAATGATATGATGAGAGCTTCCCGTTTTGACCTAGATGTTATTACCATACCCCGAGCTATTTCTGATCATGAAATCAAAACTACAGCCCCAACCTTCTCTAATAGATGCATCAATATTTATTAGGGTCTCGGCAATAAAATTACGAGAATAATAACACAGCGGAAAAATAGAAATATGACACACAGATATTTACATGGTTCACCCTTAACTGTTTAGGGCTACCAGAATATTTACATTACGAGAATAATAACACAGCGGAAAAATAGAAATATGACACACAGATATTTACATGGTTCACCCTTAACTGTTTAGGGCTACGTCCACGGGACAAATGCCGAATATTTCTTCCGCTATTAAAAATAGTAGGCTTACAAATAGAGTAATACAGAAATAGTAGCACTCAAAAATGTTTCCCAAAAACACCACATTATCTCACTATTTTCTCTACCCTAGTTTTAGAACCCTTTCTAAAACTAAAACTCTCTAAATCTCTTTTCTTTTCTTTTACTCTGCTTGTGTATTTTGATGAAGTGAATTAACTCCTATTTATAGGAGAAGTGGACGCGTGCGAAAAACAAATTGAGATTCACCGAAAAAATTTTCTTTTCTTCATTTATTTTCAAGTTGTGTGGATCCCACATGTCGGAGGGACCTACCACGTTTTCTTTTCTTCTCTTTTTTTTTTTAATTTTTAAATTTGGGTTCCACTTGAATGGGCACCGCCACAACAATATTTAATTATAAAATGAAATGGCGGGGGTCTTAAGAACTAGCCTTGAGCTGCAATATTTCCCCATCACTGCCACCGTTCACTGCTTGATAATCATGCAACAAATAAGAGCTTCACAATCTGAGTCTTGTCAAGTCGAATTTGCTGGAACTTGGCTTGATTGCGAGCATACTAGATGGACCATGACACCATTGAGAAAACCTTAAGTTGTTCATTAGTAAAAGAAGAGGATAAGATATTAAATCATTCATCATATATAATAGCTTATCAAGACAACAACTGTGTCAATACACAAAGGACTGAGAAGCCAGGCTTTTCGAGCAAATTTGCAACCTTTGAGAACATGTAAAATAGTTTCAACTACTCCACAAGTCTCACAAATGGGGACAACTACCATACCTCTTCTAATGAATTCATTCAAAACAGAACTACCATACCTCTTCTAATGAATTCATTCAAAACAGGAAGTTGTCTAGTACAAACTCTATAAGTGAAGACTGAAGTGTTTCACTTTGAGGGAATGTTTTGATGCCATGACTTTCTCCAAAAGGATGGGCCTTTTGGAGAAGAAGAAGATGGATAAATAAGAGATTAGTTTGATCATGAAAGAGGTGGTAATCGTTTTTAACTGAGTAATGACCATCCTTTAAAAAATTCCATATCAACTTATCATTCCTTTTTCCTAAACTAAGATGTATAGAACTTATCATTCTTACTTCCCTGTGAGAAAAAACAAAACATATAAGGTCTAATTAAATTCCATCTTGTTAGGATTATAACTGATCTCGAGTGGGGCCCGCGAAAAAATACCGGTGGTAAAAGTAAAATAAAATTACTATTACCGTAAAAGTAAAATTAAAATTACTATTACCTCATTATACCTCTAACTAATTAAATATTGAATATTGACGATCGAATCCTGACCAGAAGAAATATATAATCACAGTAAAATTGAACATGATTACCGTAAATGCCAGCATGAAATAAGAATACCGAGATTTACGTGGTTCACCCTTCAATGTTATTGGGCTACGTCCACGGACAAAAACCCGGAATAATTCTTCTACTAAAAATAGTAGGTACCAAAAGAGATTACAAAAATAGTGGTTACTCTAAGTGTTTTTTAACAAAAACACCCCAAAATTTTTCAAATAAAAATAGTGGTACTCTAAGTGTTTAACAAAAACACCCCAAAATTTCAATCCTCACTATTTTCTCTCTTTCCCAATTTTAGGAACCCTTTCCTAAAACTTTCTACACTCAATAGTATATTCATATTCTATATATTTTGTTTTTGTACACATTAATGAAGGAAAACCTTCTCCTTTTTATAGGAGAAAGGAGAAAGGGACGCAGCGTCCACTTTTCCTTTTTTTCTTTCTTTCTTTGATATCGTCCTTTGAATAATAAAATGAACGTGCTTTTTTTTTTTTTTATTCTTTGTTCGGCGGTCTCTCTTTGACTGCCACCAAAACAAAAAACGTGTTTTATATTTTTTTCTTTTCAAATGTGTGTGGGTCCCACATGTCAGAGGGACCCCACAACACATCTTAGAAGGATAATTAAGAATAAGCTCACTAAACTTAGCATCAAAATTGAGAATGGACGATATAGAGAGAACTCTTACACTGTTCAAATCCACCAACCATTTGTCACCCCAAATATTAATGATCTCACCATTGCCAACCCTCCATCTACTACCCTTCTCGAGCACACTCTGAGCTACTATTAAACTTGTCCAAGTGTAGCTAGGTTGAAAACCTTTTCTTGCTTCGAAAAAAGAGCACCTTGGGAAGTATTTCGCTTTTAAGCATCGAGCTAAGATAGAGTCGGGTTCATCAATAAGTCTTTAGTATTGCTTAGCCAATAAAACTAAGTTAAGATTCGCTACATCTCAAGAGCCCACACCTCTTTTAAAATTGGATATGCTTAGCTGATCCCATGACTTCCAATGAATCTCTCTCATTATTGATTTGTCCCCGCCAAAATTTAGCCATTTATGATTCAATTTGCAAATTTCAGAAGGAAAAAGGAAGCAACCATGGTATAGTTTGGAATAGCTTGTACAACTGTTTTCAAAAGAATTTTTTTTCCAACTTTTGACAAGGTCTTTTATTTTCAACCCAGCTTCTTTGCTGTTACAAAATGCTTGGAACACCGGTTTCTTACTGCTTCCTATAACAGCCGGTAATCCCAAATATTTTGAGTGCTACTGGATAGGTCTAAACCCCAATTTGTTCTTGAAAAATTGTTGAACCACCGGAGAGGAACTTTGACTAAAAGCAATTTCTGATGTTTTAAAGTTCATTTTTTGCCTGGATGCACGTTCACAATCAGAAATTATTTTAACAATCACCTCTGCTTCCCTCGTCAAATCTTTACCAAATATAATACTGTCATCTACAAAAAAAAAGAGGGTGAGAAATAGATGATATTGGTTAACTAATGAATATTAAAATTTTTAATAACATTTGTTGTTAAAATATAATATAACTATTAAGGTAAATTTGTTTTTATATATTATACTTTATAATATATATTTTTCAACTATCCATTCTTGCTTTTTTAGGTGTTTGTATCTAATTTTGGTACTTTTTCCGTTAAATGCTTTCTGAAAAGATAAAAATTACCCTCTCATTATCTCTTCTCACATTATAACTGTGTATTTAACCATCCAAAGCAACTATCCTTATTTAACAATTAAATGAAAAACAAAATCCAAGATTTAGATAAGCATATATGGTATTAATCATGACAAAAAGAACAATTATAACATTAATCTTAACAAAAATAACAATAAATATATATATAAGACTTTTGGAGAGAGAAAAATGAACTACCTTTGTTAAATGAAAATGGGAGGAAAGGGAAAAAGAGATTGAAACAAGAATATGACAAAGAATCATGGGAAAACTTTTCCGTAAGGAATCCTCAGAAACCAAGTCGACTGACACCTCATCAAATGGCACTTGAAAGGTCATGAAAAATCGAAAAAGAAGAAGGACTCTGCCTGGACAAAGTATTTTGACCATGCTGGAGGATGAGTTAATTGAATTCATTTCAAACTTTTTGAAACTCATATCCATGTTGGTGGCAATTCTTTCTTACACAACAACTTTTATTTTGAAGGACATGCTTGAGAAACACGAAATGAGCTTGAAATGGTGAACTGGGTCACGCTTAAAGTCACATCTATATGTATATTCCATTAGGATTTCTGAAAAAAGCTTCTAGTTTTAAGGAATTATGAGTTGATTTAAATTCTAATTGCAGTGTTACTATTGTTGGGATATGAAGAAGAAATGGAAAGCGAAGATGAGCAGTACAAGTTTAGAGTTTGAGATTGGGAAATGAGAGATGAAAATTGAGATGGAAATAGGGATAAAGCTGAGGGTATTTTTGGATGAAAATTTCATTTTCTAACTTTTTGACTATGCTTTTATTCTTTGACAAATGATTTTTTTACCACAAATTTGAATGCAAGGAGTAAATATTACGATGGAATAAATATATTGAGATTTCAAAAAGTATTTTTAGAAAAGCAACTATGAACTAGTTGTATTTCAATATATTGATGTAATAATCATTTTCCCTTTTTTTTTTTTAATGACTAAAGACTCCTTTTGTTGGATAGAGAGACCTTTCAATATAATGGACACTAAACTTGGGATAGTATAATTGGTTGTCCAAAATAAAGGATGAGTTATTAAATTTGATAATATCTCAGGGACTAAATAGTAATTTAGCCTTCAAATTATTGCCTCAATTTTGGATTAATGAAGAAAAAGGCTCAATTTGAAAAGAAAAGAAAAAAAAAAAAGAAGCAGCTTTCCTTATGCTCCGCTTCCATTCCTCCCAATTTTGATTTTACACTCGAACAAAACCAAAAGTAGCAAACCAAGCAAACAGACGAAATCGACAAGAAGGGGAAAAGATGATTGCGAATGAGTTAAGCAGAACAGTTAACGGAGAAGAAAAGAAACAGGAAGAAGAGGAAATTGTTTGCTTAGACGAATCATTTTTTATCAATAACGAGTAGACACTCTTTCTCCAAATTAATCTTCTTCTCTTTCTCTCTGTTTATTTTTCCCTTTCCAATCTGACGATAATCATGTTTTATGTTTGTTTGCTCATTTCTTGTTGTACAGTTACCAGTTGAGCACTTTTACATTTGGGTCTCATGTACTTGAGCTCTTTTGCCTCCAATCTGCTTCTAGTGAGTTCTTTTTCACTGAAATATCATTCAATACAGTGAACTAAACAAAAACCACTCATCAGATTCAGAACCATTTGTTGTTGGTTTTTGGTATTAGCCTATATATAACGGTAGAACTGTAGAAGTGTAGTAGAAATAGATAAAAATAGAAAATTTGTGAGAGTTATTTGATATTATCTTATTGCATGACAATGTGAGAGTAAGTGATGATTCTATTTTGTGATTGTATGTTATTGATGGCAATTTGGTCATATATGAAAGTTGAGCTGCTTTATGGAACAAAGGTTGGGACTTTTTTAGTGATTTGAAGATGGACGTGATAACAAGAAATTTTATCAGTTTTGGAGAGGTCATGCATTTTTCATGATTGCAGATTATTGAAGAACACACATCTATGATTCGAGATTGCATGCTACAGAGTTATCTGGTCTTGTTATTTATTATTGAATAGAGTCACCGATTTCTCTGAACAATGTCATGCATCTCACTTGGTATTCCTTCATTTTTTTTTAACCTTGACATTTGTGTACTTTTTGGGTCTCTAAAACATAAGACTTGGCATTCTTTATGGCTTGAAAGTCTCTCTGTCTTTGTTGGTGCTACTTATAATTATATATATTCTTAGACATTAATGGATCAAATTTTTTTTTTCTTTAATGCGATTAAGTTAATATTTTGAATTGTATGCTAACTTTTTATGGGACAGCTGATTTTGACTTAACAGGGCAACTGGTATGGCCTGGTGCCATGCTTTTGAATGATTATCTCTCAAAACATGCTGAGATGCTTCAAGGGTGTTCTGTTATTGAGTTAGGATCTGGTGTAGGTGAGAAATAGTCTTTGCCTATTTCATTTCTTGATTTTACTATCTTCCTCTCTTGTAAATTATGTATATCAATTTTTGGTAATATTTTATTTGGAAAACCAAACATATGGCTTACAAAACAGGGGCTTCATTTTGTCCTTGCCTGAGTATCAGTGCTTTAAGACAAACCAACTGAGAAAAGCCTTGCAATTGATGGGTAGAATTTTGAAATTCAATCCATTTGCGTTAGACATTATTTATTCTGTGCATGCGTTGACACATGCACAGATTCACATTCGGGGTTGGTTTGGGTTTGACTGATAGAATGATACTTGAGTTAGCTTGAGACTGGGTAGTGATTGTCATTCAGCCATTACAAAGATTCCATCTGATCCCTTATGAAACCAATGGGTGACGTGATGATTTCTTATCTTCAATTGGTTCTTCATCTTTTCTGTGGTATTTTTGGTTTGGAAGGTTGTGTGAACAATAAATGAAGTAATCTTACTTCTCTACATTTTTTTCTGCTGGGAAATCAGTGACTCCATCTATGAGAAATGTTACTTGTATCTGTGTTTGTTACATCCCGTAATAACTCTCTCATGTATTTTCATACTGTTTGCAAATCAATATGATAAGCCTCAATCCAATCCCGGATCTAACTATCACTGACATCTCCTCAAATGCAGGAGTTACTGGGATACTCTGTGGCAGGTTTTGCCGCCATGTTGTGTTAACTGATCACAATGACGAAGTGCTGAAGGCAAGGTTGCAACATTATTTTAAAATTTAAAAGTTAAAATGATAGAAGTTGCTTTCTTGAGCGTTTTCATGTTCTGATGATTTTCATCTTTAATTTCTTTTCAGATCCTCGAGAAAAATATAGAGCTTCATGCAACTTCTGTGGACCTTAGTTGTTCTGCTGGTGAGGGATATAAACTCTTTAGTGGTAGTCATGTTCAGACTAGCTGATGTCTTCGTTTTGGCATCTTACATGCAGAATTAGCAGCAGAGAAGTTAGAGTGGGGAAATTCTGATCAAGTAAACCAAATTTTACAGAGATATTCAGAAGGATTTGATCTGATTCTTGGAGCTGATATATATATCCTGATTATCAGCTGCTAGAGATAATACCACCTATATCAATTGCTTGTATGTTTCATAGTTTGCAATCAAATTTGAAAAATGAATTTTTATACTTTTATATGCTTTCTATACCGAGCAACTGTTGCTTAGTCTTTATCTAGAGTCATTTTGAGTTGTTGCAGGTGCATCTTGGCAGAAGCACCCATCTTGTTTGTTAAAACCGAAAGTGGCCAAAGTTTATATTTAGGGTACTTTTAGGACCAAGATTGACGTAAATATCTCAAAAATATCACCCAAAATACCTAAAGGATTGTTTATGGAAAATATTCAATTTGCCAAAAGACCTACTCCTAGTTATTGCCTCACCCATTTGATCAATCAGAAGATGCCAAATATTCAATGTGGCAAGAAGAAATTTAGTTCAAATGAATGTTGGAAATAAAAGCTGTCACATTGATAATGTACTAAATCTCAATGGCTTGGTGTATTGAGATACAATTAGTAAGAAGCGCCTTGAGTCGGACTTCTTATTTGAATGCTAAACTGTTGCTTTCCGAGTTCATTCATTTAGCACAGCACATTATAGTTGACACTTAGCACAGATACCTGGTTGGATACTGTGCTTGAATACTTGTTACTTGTGCAATGGTCCTTAAATAATCTCATTAAATTGTTGATTTAATTGATAATGTATTAGCTCCTTAAGTGTCCCCACAAGGTAACTAAGATCGATGATATTTTCCAAAATGGGTTTTAGTTGCATTTTATTTCTCTTGTATCTATGCAGTCATTTTACCTATTGATTAAAAAATGAAATGCCCTTGACAACATGTAAGCTTTCAGCAGTCAAGTGTTCCGTTACTATTTGATACTGTGGAACAGCTTCTTCGCTTTCAGGGAGGACGATGCAAATTCATACTAGCCTATGTATTGCGAGCAAAGATGTGAGTAGCCTAATTCTCTGTTCTTAGTTTGTGACCGAGTTTCTTGAATTGCCTTATTATATACAATCGTTACATATGACGATTTCTTTTTTTTCTTTTTATGTACTGTTTTTGGTATCTACAGTTATATCGACTTTGAATATCCTTCTAATACATGTATAATTTTATTCATCACTTGCAAGTCTTCTATCGTAGTGTAATTTCTTACAAAAGCTCCCTTGAGTTCAAGCTACAGTTTTGTCTAATATAATGTATAACATTCTTTAATTTCTTCTCTTAGGTTTCTCTTTAAAAACTCATTGCAAAACATCGTTTCAAACCGAACCATTTCAATTTCATCTTTCTTTCTGTGCAGCATGGATTCGTTGGTTATCAAAGAAGCAACGCGGCATGGAATGCAGATTACTGAGGTTACTGGGACCCGGGCTCTTGTTGGTAATCTTGAAGGATTCATATTTGAGGTTTTACTTGATTAGGAACATCAAATGTGTTTCATACTGAAGGATGTGGGGCTAGAAGCACCTTGGAGAATGGAGAACTTTGTCACATTGTTAAGGTCAGGAACTCTAGATGAGCTGCTCGGAAATGTTTTTACAGATGGCACTTGGCAATGGTAAAAATTTGAGCTTATGGATGACTTTCTTGGATATTAGCGTTGAAAGTAATTTCAGAAATGAATAAGGAAAGGAACAGGCAGTCTATGGACCATATACACTTTATGCAGAAAATAATCGAGGCCTTTGATGAAGCATTACTTTGGTAACCCAGAAATGGGGTGGACCATTGTAGCTATCATTTCTTGTAATTTGCTAGTTAACTATATTTGATTCTTACATTTCTACTGTTAGACAATTGGTAATTTGGTATGCTCAAATTTTCTCTTAAATTGCCAGTTTCATAATAGAATTTGTTGAACGCCGTAGCTAAAACGCAATGATCCACTGGAGCAAGAATGTCGATTTTCATTAGAATTTCCATAATCATTCTACAATTTTGCGAATACAACAATCGAGTGGATAGCCATAATGGGAACCAAAATCCCAGTACAATTCATTAAATAGTTGTGACCTAGTCTACAAGAATCATCTCATTTTTTTCTTCTTCCGAGGCTCCATCTCCATGAATTTGATAGACATAAAAGGTCTCACGAGCAAAAAATCCCTTCAGCTCTCGTACTTCTTCATTACGCAAGTCATTCTATTTCTCCCAAATGTTTAGCACGTGGCATGGGGACAAGATGCATCCAGAGGACATGAGTTGCCAAGCAATCTGCCAAATCTTAAGGCAGTTCCTCTAAAGTGCATGAGGTTTCTGAGTTCAACTTTAGGCCTTTGCCATATGCAGCAATGAGTAAAGCTTCAGCTCTTCCTGCAGTAATCAAATGCCAATCAAAATGGATCCAGTCTAAATTTACAGAGAGCATTCAGAACTAGTGCTAGTGATAAATATATTCCACAATACATTTTTCTAATTAAAATAATACATAAATACATACAAATCCAGAAAACATGTACCTTTATGAGTTGGATCTTGTAAACAAGTTTTTTTTTCCCTTTTGAATATGATTAAATGTTGACTGGACTTAAGTAATTGTTGAATATCTCAATGGTTTATAATAATTTAGTTTTTTATTTCATAAATATAACCCTATATCTTTAATGGTTTACGCGTTTCCTCCACAGTTTCGTTTCCTACATTTTTAAGAATACCATTTCCCCATGTCTGTTTCCATGTTTCCGCACTTTCCATTTCAGCTCCCATGCAATATAAAAATATAATAAGTAGTATATCGTAATGAAAGCAGAGAGGCAAGTGTAGAAAATGAGTAGAGATGATACAGATGAGACCAGAACTAGAGCTAAACAAAAGTTGTAAATACAGAGTATTGTGAAGTTTTTCAAACTCAGTAGAACTGAAAAGAACCATACATGCACTAGGGACAAAGGAAGGTTAAAGTACAATTGGATGGTGTTGGGTTGCTGCGTTGCATTTCTAATGTCATATAGGTCTTCCAGGAAGGAAAGAGAGAGAGAAACAGAGAGAGAAAGTTGATAGAATCAGAGAGAATCTTGATGACAAGTTGAGGGAAGGTTGCAAGGATGGTTCGACCACATCCAAGTACCAAACATAAAACTGTTGAAATTTTGGTCTGGAAAAGCAGGAAGATTGATATGGCAAGAGAAAAAAAAGAGAAATGCTAGACATAAAATGATCTGAGTGCAAGCTCTAAAGAATGATTTAATATTTTAATTAATACTAGAATAGATGGTCCTAGACAGAACTAGATGGAGAAGGATTCATGCAATGCTTGGTTTAAGGCATACTCAATTAAGTTGAAAGTTTAGACACTGCTAGCAAGCATGAAGATTTTATAATTTCAACTTCAAATATGGAGGTTAGAAGGTTATTAGCTGACCAAGATTCTCTTACTTTGCAGCTTTTACATCCACATGACAATTATATTTTGAAACTCAGGGATGCGACAGACAAATCATACAAGGAGTAAGTTTAATTATGAAAATTGGAACTTCCATTGAAAAGGCCGCATCCAGCCCATCCAAGTGCTACCAAATCATGCAGCATGAGAGTCTGGGGACTTTTTTTCTGAGGTCTAATGAAATATAAAAGGAATGGTGCAAGTGTGTTGAAGGACTAGGAATGACAATCTCTGTAATCTATTAAACATGATGATACATTGGAGTTATGGAGCAACAATTTACCGTGATCCTTTTTTCTCTTCAGTGAAGAACTCAATGATGGAAATAATGTTGATGCAACCCTTCGACTATCATCCTGTCAAAATCCAGCATCAATCATAAAAAAGCTGAATTCTTGAAAATTTACTAAAACAATATGCAAGAAACAATACATTTTCCATGCAGTTCTTGAGAGTAGAATCTATAGAAAAGGTTTCTTGGGTCCAGTAACCATTTGTGACTAGTGAGAAAAACAAATAAGATAAATCAACAAATACACAAACCTTGGTATATCCGCTTCCAGAGAGTTCAAATTTTTTCTTCCATGTCACAGATGGTACTGGAACTACAGAGAAACCAGATGCCACTAATGTACCAATCCATAATCCATAACCAAATCCTCCACTCCACCATCCCTTCATAGAAGAATAAGAAAACGATCTCAAAATCAAGGCCTTTTCCCACTTCCAATCTCATTTCAGCATCAACTGAAATCACATTAAACAAGCTAACAAGCTATTGCTATCTCAGAGAAGCACAGACATTAATAAAACAGGATTTGCTATAGGGAAGATAGGGAAGAATGTTTTTTCAAGACAATTTAGAGAGTTGAAGTACTATTTATAAGAAAAGGCAAAGATGTAGATAACAATTCTTCAGATGCATGTACAACAGGTATGTGATCTCTTAACACGTACCATGTAATCACAGTCGTATCCCCATAATTTTGGGCATTGTTATAATTGTACTTTAATTATTGATTTTTGAAACACTAAAAAACAGAAAAGAAAAGTAGAAAAAAGCATATCACTGGCAAGTCTGGCATTAGTATGTCACACTAACCTGTTTCCCATCTTGTGGAAATGGGCTTGATTGCTCAATGTATGCAGTGGTTCCTGAAACGAGAAAAGAATGATTATTGTGTAATTTTCAAGAATGAATAGGTATCATAACCATATGTAATTAAATGTTATCAATGAACACAAAAAAATCAAGTAATGGAATAAGGACAAGTACAAATAAGTTAACTGGAAAACCATATGACATGAAGCAGATAGTTTAATTCACACACTAACCAGAAAATACATGAAAGTTTATTATAAGTAACAAAATAAGCTGAAATACTACAATGATTTTATCTTAAATAATACTATTCACTATGAGTCTATAACTGCATGCACTTCAGTTCAGACAAGAGTCATGGTGGTGTCATTCTCCATCCCACTTTATCCTTTTCTAATGTATGATATCATCTCCACCTCTCACATCTTGATTGATCTCTAAGAGATATTGATAATCTTAGTAACAATCAATAGATAGTGAATTAGAATTACCTCACAATGTGGCCAGATAGAAACAAATAGATAAAAGAGGTAACAAGGTACTTTGAAACATTGAAAAACCCATGTAAATGCTTGTTGTTGCACGATTGAAGATGAACAACACTGAAATTTAATCATGAACCGATAATCCAGAATTCAGAATAAGATAAACCCAAACAATCAAACCGACTAGTTGCGGAAATACCAAGGACGAATAGTTTTTGAAATAACAGAAGTTTTCCAAAAGAGTCAGCCATACCAACTGGAGCATCAAAATTACGAAGCAACTCAACAATAGATTTAGCATCTAACCGCTTTCGAATTCTTTTGCCCACCAAAACTTTCAAGCAAGGGGTATCAAATACCTGCAAGGGTAAAATCAGAAACCATGTAACTTGACGGGCCAAACTATAGTCATTTTCTTGGAGGGGGGAAAACATTACTTAACAAAAGGCAAACTATTCAAAGAAAAATGAAGGCTTAACAATATCTATTTTAGGCTAAATGATAATCACGAGAAAGAAAATATGCAGCCATAAATATTTCTTTGTTTGACAATCCATAATAGTGAAGAGTCAACATTTAGAAAAACAGTAGTTAACCTTCAGATTCAATGTGCTCCTAATATCTCTTCTAATCAACTATACCAATTTCAGCACAGGAACAACACTTTCGGAAAAAAAAAAATGTTCCAATCAAAGAAATCCCACAATTTTCTAGCTTGTTAAATGCCAACAATAATAAAAAAAAACATATACACATAAAAAGTACTAGGTTAATTTCCAATTACACGAAATGGTGAAATGTTAAAAAAACAACCATTAAACTTGAAAAAGCCTGTATTCGAATGTACCCATTTACCTGAGCAGAGAAACCGGAATCATCAATTTTCAAGAGAGCAACAGCACCAGAGAGATCCGGGTCGATACCAATGACCCAATTGGAACTCGTATTTCCAAAAGTAGAAAGTCTGGTTTGACTAACGGGAAGAGGGCAAGAAAGGGATTCCAACCAGTCCACCTTCAATTGTCTTGCTGCTTCAGCTACATTAGCCTTGAGAATTACACTGTCTGCTGAAGCAATAACAGTACTTTTACTCTTGCTAGTGCTACTTCTGAGAGAAAGAGATGGAGTTAGATAATTCATTGTACAAAAGGGTTTTAGGTTATATAAAGAAGGGGTCAAGGAGAGCTTGTGTTTGAGCCTTGAAAAGAGTGAGTTCAAGTTCATGTTCATGAATTGGGTTTTTGGAGATATAAAGCTTTGAAGGGTTTCCATGCAATGTTTGTGCAGGTAAAGAGAGAAAACAGAGGAGATTTTCCGTTCAAAATTGAAAAATTGCAGTTGTTTTGTGTACTGTATGCGAGGCGTTATGTGATGGGCTGGGCTTTCTGGTTCGGCCTCTTGACATTGGGCTTTTGGGATTTGGTTATGGATTGAATTAGGATACTGTTTTTAGAAGAAATTAAATTAGAAATTTTATTAAGAGAAATGTGATACAGGTGAATATGTTTCTACATTTTTATATATGAAGTCTAATAATAAATTACTTATATAAAGAATTAAAAAAATACAATTTTAATTTGAAGTATCTGATCGAGTTGACAGAGTATAATATTTGTGTCATCAACGATCGCTTGCTCTACTTGGTAGTTGTTCATGGCTATTGTTCAACTTCATGGTCTTTCTACAAGTCTGATCTAATTACCTTCAAATTTCTTCTTGAGATCTGCATTTCTTTCTATATAACTATCCAAATAATAAAAGATGCTAAATAAAATCATCATATTGGTGACAACAATAACTCAGAATTAAATCTGAGAATAAAATCATAAGATATGAGCGACAATAACTCAAATGTGTATACAGATTTGAAAATTATTTGTAAAAAATAAATAAATAAAGCGGTAACCATTAACGAAAACTCACCTGTGGCAGTCCGTAAAAAAAGAAAAAAGAGCTTTTAGATTTTAAGTTTTTAGAGAGAAAAAAAGAGTCGCTAGATTTTTTTTTTTAGTTAGGATACCCTTTTGTTCAAACTTCAAAGGTAGCTATTAATTGTAGTGGTGCCTGTGAGTAAAAGTAAAACCAAGTGAGGAGTACAAGGCCAAATGCTAATTAGATGTTGAGCCATATTTTTAAAAACAAGAAAAATAATAAAAATGATAAATTATGGAAAATTATCAATTGTCACCGGTAATCAATGGTAGTGGTAGAAATAAATAGGATGATCATTCCATAAATTCGATCGATCCATTTGTGTAAGATTTTTAATCAAAGTAATTTTATTTGACTTAAGCGAGTTAATTTTTAACTGAACTTAACTGAATTATTTTGGCTGAGTTAATTTTGATCATTAATTGCACTGAAATTAAAGAAAATGAAAACTTAATTAATCAACGGAATTTAACTAAAATTTATTATTAACCCACTTAAACCGAAATAAAAATAATTAAAATTATTAATCACTACTTAATCAAAATAAAAGATGAAATATTTTTAATTTTTAATTTTATTATCTACTTAATCAAAACAATATAGTTTTAAGAGTCAGTTAATTTGATTAATTTAGTTAAATTAACTTTTAATCGAATTTTTAATTGATCACCAAAAATCTAATTTTCTTTAATCGAACATTTAATTATCGAATCCAGTTGGTCGGATTTCGGTAAATTAATCGACTCTCAAAATTATGCCATCTTGATTAAAATCAGTTAATCACAAATTACCATTAAATTCGATTAGTTAATTAGGTTTTTATTTTCTTTGACATAAGTGCAATTAATGATCAAAATTAATTCGGCTAAAAAATTAATTCGGATAAATTTAGTAAAGTAAAAAAAAATGATTAATTTATTTCAATTAAAAAAATTACTCAAATTGACTGAATTGGTGGAATGTTCGCCCCTCAGTGACTTTTTTTTTTTTTGTCCGTATCCGTAGATGTCATAATGAATTCAATTCCTGCAAATGACAATAACACTCCAAGAATTTATCAAAGCCATCTGAACCGACACCTGCAATTGATTTATGAAAACCAAAATTTTTCGTATATATGCTAATGACATTAACAAAATCAATCTTAATTAGTCAATGCTAATGTCCAGATTTTTCATCATAGCCATCCCATGAATTGTCCAGCTCTAGTGTAATTGTAGAACCTGCCATTGACAAACAAAAATTCAGATTTATAATGACTTTTCAATTGAAAGAAAAAAAAAAAAAAACACCTTTTGTAATTGAGTTTATACAGCCATAAAGGGGAGAATAGAAAGAGACCTTTCTCTGTTTTTATTCTAAAGGGAAAAAACAACCTTTATTTCCTTCTGAAAATAAAAGTTTCCAATTTTAATTTGAGTTTTACGTTGCAAGAAGAAGAAGGAAACAAAAAGCCGAGAGATCAAAAAATTCATTAAATAATTAGCTTTTATTTACTTAAATTCTTTATTTTTACTCCATTGAGAAGAGAGATATTTAAAACAAAGAGGTAATGGAATTAGAATAATTAATTATTTAGGCGCAATTTTAGCGGTTTTAGTAGCCGTTAACTGTTCTAATAACTGTTAGCTGTTTTACTAGCTGTTAACGGTTTGATATTAACTATCAATAGTTAGTTGTTTAATATAAAATGACAAAAAAAGGTAAGGTCATGGAGAATAAAGCAAAGACAGTGATACATAGAGGGATCATACAAAATTTATAAAACATTAAATGTTAATCAGGATAACGTTTTATGAAACACTGTCTTAAACTCTAAATGTTAGAATAGATATGCCTTAAACCCTAAATGTTAGAATAAATGTGATACGACCGAACACGATAATTAATTAAAATAGTGTTTTAACCTAATCAAAATACTAAACACTGCTAAAATAAGTATTTTAATCTAGTCAAAATACTAAACACAGCTAAAAAAAAGGCTCGGAAGAGAGCTTTAAACAATAAAAACGGATAGAGAATAATTGTAACTATAAAATTAGTTATTAAATGAATATATTTTATTTAGTATTCATATTATACTTCCACTGAAAAATTTTCTGAATCCGCCACGTGTTTCGTCCTGGCCTTAAAAGGGTTTCTTGGTATGTTATCATATCACGGACGCATTATAACCCGGGATACGGGAAGTGAGTGTGACTAATCTTTTTGTCACGATTTGATTTCTTTTGATCATTTAAGTTCCGTGATTTGATTACTTTGGCTTCAAAATCATGGGCAAATCCTGATTCTTACATGTGATTCTCTCTCTATTACAAAAATTGGTATCTTTTTTATATGCCATTTCTTGGATGTGTGATTAAAAAAAAAAAAAAAAACTGTTTATTTAAAACAAAAATAAACCGAACTTTAAAATATTTTTCATAAAGTTGAATACTAAATTATTTTTTATTTAGGGGTCAAACTGACCTAAATTTTGTAATTCCAATTTAATTTAATATATTTCGCTGATATGGACAATTGACACTGTTTAATATCTTTTTCTTTACACTACATATGTCTCTAGTCTATTAGACTAATAATCTTACTCGAGTCGAGTTAAGCCCATAAAACAGAAATACTCTCAGTATAAATTTTCTCAATTTATAAATATCAAACACTCGACATCTTAATTAAGAGATATGAGTTTTTTCCATTCAGATCAACTCTCATTATTTATTAATTATTAATATTATTTTATTATTTTATACTTTCAGATAATTTTAAAAAGTCAGAAATTTTTTTCATCTAAAAATATAATTTTACACATGATCTATTTCAAAATATGAAAATTTGGTCCGAAGTAATGTGATATGACTGGTCAATATCATAGACAAAATACAAAATAAAAATAAAAATTTCTAAATTTATAATTTTAGCAGTAGAAATTAAGAAAACATCAAGATGTGGTATACAATTAGGGGAAGAAAATTACAAAATGATGTACCTTCAATATAGACAAAGACTGTTCATTTCATAGGATCTGAATGATGAATTGTTGACTTGGCAATCTTTTGTCTATAGATAGCTACAGACAGTTACCGAGAATCCCTCTTTTATATGTTCAAAAACTTTGAAACATAGTTTGGAAGCAAAAGGAGACCCTAACTCTTTCATATATATGAGTTGGGTTTCCTCATTTTCAGGAGGAAAACCCTCTTCACTTCATTCCCATTAAGAACTCTTAATTTCTTCAAAAAAACCCATTTTTCTATAATAATTTAACCATGTCACCTCAAATCTCCATTGCCACTTCTTCTTCCTTCTCCAGTGCACCCACAAGTCCAAGAAGATCATTTTCAAAACCAGACACTAAAAATGTGTGCTTCTATAGTGTTCCTACTAGTCCCAAGGCCAAGTTGGATGATACTCGCGATCTTGGATGTAAAACGACATCACCGGCTTCTACCACCATGACGGACGACTGTGAGATTTCTAACGTGAATGATGATTACTTCGATGTGAATGATTTTGAATTCGAAACGAGTCGTCATTTCAGTGTTATGGATGAAGATGTTTATAATGATAGTGAGAGCGATTCGGATAGCAGCGTTGATGTGGAATTTCACTACCAAGAGCCGAGAAAGAGGCAGCGAAAACGCCACGGGTCACTTCCTGCCATGGCGTTTGCTGACGAGTTATTTTGTGATGGGAAGGTGATGCCATTAAATCCTCCACCTTGTCAACAATATTCTAACTGTAATGAAAATAAAAATAGTAAGGATTGTCCAAGCCAAAGTCCAAATTCTGCCTCATTTTCCCCTATGAATCCAAGTTCAATTTTTAAGCTTCCATTTCCCAGGAGAAATTTGTGGAATGATGATTTTGATCCATTCATGGTAGCTTTAAAGAATGTTAAGGAAGGAAAGAAACATAGACGGGCCTTGTCCATGTTGCCTTTACGGGCCTGTACCCAATGGGATCCGGAAGAGTTTATTCATGAAAACTGTTTACACTCTAGCCCAATCATTCAAAGCCCAATTAGGCAAATGGAGCCCAATGGGTCACCGGTTCTTCTTTCGCAACAAACTATGAATTACGGCTCGAAAAGCCCAGTAAGATTGGCCGAGCCCAAGGGAGTCCTGTTCGCGAGACGGGCTAGAATGGTTAAAATGGACTACAAAGGGCCGAGGCCCATTGTAGTTCCTGTTGCAGATCCCATGGTAGAGGAGAATGGAGGACTAAATGAAAGGCCTAGCACTACTCCCGGAGGAGGAAGTAAAAGGTGGCACAAGATAATGAGCTTTGCACATAAAAATGCATCAATGACCAAAACAACTGGTAATGAACAAAAGGAAAGAGGGGCAAATGCGGAATTTTCAAGGCCTAAGATTTTGAGAAAACTAAGCTTGAGATCTAAGAAGTTAGTGCATGGCAATGAGGAGAAACAGGCATCTCAAATGACCAAAATGACCCTAGTAAGATATAGGCCAAAGCTACTTTTGTGCATGGGTTATGGAAATTTTCAAAAGTGAAATATGACCCTTATTGTCCATTTGTAAAAACTGTAGAAAGCTATCCCTACATCTGCATGTTTCTGGGATGTTGTTAATGCTTGGATTTTTCTTTTTCTTTTTCTTTTATTTACATAATATATTTATGTTATAGGACTTGTGTTTGCAACCTTGGTTCCTGAACTTGCTTAGGGTGAAATTGTCTTTTATTATTACATATTGAAGTCTTATTGGAAAGAATTCAAATTCCTACTATATTTTCACGACTTAATGTTTTATTCATTTACATACCCTCTGAAACTTAATTGAGAATAGGTTGTGCTTAATAATTTCTCAATAGGGAAACTTGTTGTGTCTCCACTTTCTTTCATTCTTCACATTTCATTTTTCGCCTTCCTTTAAAAAGTTTAGCTCCATACATAAACTGGTCGAAAATCGTGCTTCACGCGTGGATATTTAAATATTGTTTTATTAATTATTATAGTTGATTAGATTATTATTTTTGATAAAATTATTAGGAATAACAATCAAAACTCTCCTTGATGTAATCTAATAATGGTAAGTACAAAAAATAATTTGTAGTAAAGAAAATTATGACATTGTTTGCAATAATATAACATTATAAACAACAAAATAGTATTATTCCCATTATTACTAATTAAGCTTTAAAATTTAGATTGGCTTGATTGTTTCAAGATTACTATATTTTATTATCTTTTTTTTTCCTAGTCCAACTCCTTTACTCTTTCCTAAATTATTAGTTACAGTACTATATATTTAGAGAGATAAACAGAAAGAGATGATAATGCAATGTTTTGTATTTAATAAGAATCAATCTCATCTTATAATTTGCATCTCATTCTTATAGAATAAAGATTAGTTTATAAAAAAGTAAAAAAATGAAAGGTTGAAGTAAAAACATTCAAATTCTTTTTTTTTTTTTTTTCCCATACTTTTGACTATTCATAGAAAATAATCGTAAAAATTTCTAAAATGGATTAAAGAAAAGAAAGGAGTCTGTTGCAACGTCTTCTTTGATTCCCTCTGCAGATTTACTCTTGTTTACCTCAAAATCTTTTTGCCTATAAATTTCTCCCGCTTCGTCCCATATTTTCTAGAATTCCACATCAACAAACATAAAAGAAAATAAAAAGTCATCCAAAAAGAAATTCAAATTATATATGCTAGATTGAAAAGAAGGAATCTGAAAATAAAAAACCGGCAATCAAATAGTAACAATCCTAAAATATAGAAAAGTAAGAAATTAAAAAGTTCTAAAAGAGAGAAAAAAGAGGATTAGAGTGAAAGTTGTTTTACCATTCTAATTGTAATGCCAATGCAATGAGAAGATCACAAAGCAATTACGGCCATGAACAATATACGGAATGAACCTTTCTATATATACACAAATGCAATTACGGCCATAACAATATTACGAATGAACCTTTCATATATATATATATATATATTATATATATTTTTTTTTATGTTATTTGAAGGTAGATAAACACGTGCATTTTATTTATTTGAAAGGTAGATAAACACTGCATGTTGAAGCTTGAAATTTAAAAAACATTTAGATAAGAAAACTTATCGTGTTCTTATTTTTAAATATTAAATATTAAAAACTTTTAATTGAAAAAACATAAAAAATTATTTTAAATCTATATATTTTTAAATCACACTAAAAAAAATATAAAACTAAATAAAGTAGGTCTATCTATCTATACTATATATAAATGTGGAAATAGGGGAAAATACTGAAATTTTCGATATCGCCTTCAATTAAATTTAGAATATCCTAAAATAATTTTAGTTGTAGACAATTCAAAAATTACATTTTATATTAACGAGTATTTGGATGAGTGATTCAATGCTCTTCTCCATTAGGTGAGGTTGAAGGTTTAATCCTTATGGATGGAGTAAATACTCAACGAGAACACTTTATTCCCTTTTGGGCCGACCCAGGGCGAGCAAGATTTAGTTCTAGCCCAGTAGTGGACTCTGATACCTGTGGTTATGAAACACCTTAATTTTATTTTAGACTGTGGGCTGCAAGTACTGTATAATCTCAATTCACGTTCAAATTCGCGAGTTGGGCGTTAAATATTAAATTGATTAAAATAAAACAAACCAGACTCGTAAACCAGGCTGAATTTTTCGAAATCAAGAGAAAAACCTGTAAACCAAGCAAAAACCGAGTCAAATCACTGAATTGGACCAAATCAGTTTGAATCAAACCGAAATAGTCTAGAAACCTGGTTTCTCTTCTTCTTCTTCCCTCTCTAGGGAGAGCAGGCACGACCCCCTCCCTCCTTCCTGTTTTCGGCCACCACTCGACGAGAGCGAGGTGGCGATCGACTTCCCTGGAGCCGCTGGTCCCTTTTCCGGCTTCCTTCCATGCCAGTAGAGCCTCTAGTGGGGTAAATCGAGATGGTCTCCATCGACAGTTCTTGTTCTTCGATCTCCGGCGATATCAGGTGACTCCGACAATGTGAAGCTTCAAAGTGGGTCTCGATTGACTCAGCTCCTCCACGTGATCATTTTTCCTCAAATGATTCCGGAGATGGGGCATAGAGGACGAAACCACGGGAGTGGCAGCGAGAGGGTGACTGTCGAGTCTATTTTAGTTAGTCAAGGGACTGAGCTCGCGCAACTAATGCCAAAAACAGACTCCTGAGTAAAAACTGAGCCAGATGGTGTGAAGAGCGCTCGATTTCGAGCAGCCATGGTTTTTCGGCCACCGTAGACGGCGGCGACGGTGGTCCAGTGACCGGCCGGAGAGGCCCCAAGAGATAGAATGATCTTCTCTTCGCGCGGATCGTGGAATCGTAGTCCGATTCTCAATCGGTACGCTCTAAGACTTAGTTTGTCATTTTTGTTAAAAATTCCAAACTTAAATTTATTGGTTAATTTGTCATTTTTGTGTTTAAAAATTCCAAACTTTAAATTTATTGGTTTAATTTAGTTTAACTTCGAATAAATAAGTTAATAGAGGACTTTGACTAATATTAGGCTTTGAAATATTAGGTTTTGAAGTTTGTGAGAATAATTGGAGTTTTTAGTAGAATTTGAACTTGAGATTCAGTAGTTAGAAATTGTGATTATATTAGATAATTGATAACGTAAGTTAACTAGAATTGATTATTGTTCTGAATTAAAATTTAGGAAGTTTAGTTTTGTATGACTATGATATTGGGCCTTATTACCTCTAAGTGTAAATCATGAAGCACTAACAAGTACTTGGTTATCTTTATTAACTTGTGATTTAGTTGTTAGTTAAAGAATGTATTAACCTATGCTACAATTGTGGATGAGTTGATCTTGGATGCTTTTGGTGCAATGATGGGACGATGTTAGTAAACTGTTCATAATTAAAAGGGAATGAACTATTAGTCAATCGATTATTATGTTATTGTAATTATATAGTGTTTTGGATAGGCTAATAACATGATGTTTAAAATTTTAGAATGATTAAGTGCACATATATGTGTGTGTGTGGGGTGGTTAGTAAATATTGTTTAAGGCAGATGGGTTAATTTGACTGATTTGCCCGATGGATGGGCTGTGAGAATGGAGTTAATATTTAGATGAATGAGTAACGGTTATGGTGGACGGGTAGTTATTGTGAATTGCTCGATGGATGGGCTTGAGAATTTATTATTGAATTATAGTTTTAAGCGGGTGATTTAGCACAATTTCTAGAGAAGGTTTCGCCGAAGTTTCGATAGAATCTAGGCTAATCATATATAATAATTAAATCAATAGGTTTATTTAGATTAATCTTATACCTTAACATATTTAAAATAAAGTTCTTTAGTTATTTTTATCATTATTTATTTATTTACTTATTTATTTATTTTTAAGAACCGATTGTTATAGTATGTTATTATTTAATACTCTTGTATTTATTTGAATTGGTATATGGATGTTTATTTGTACTCATGTATGAAAATGTTTAATTGATGAATGTGCTTGTAGTTAAAACCGATGTTTGATTATTTGTATTGTGATATTGCTATACCTTGTTTGTGTAGAATTGGGATGAAATAGGTCATCATGGGTTTGTGAGGACGATCATGGAAATGATGAAAATGTGGAATTCGATTGTCGGCCAGGAATGGGGAGATCGGTGCCCTCGTGTGCACCTGATGATATGATATGGATGATATGAAAAACCACAGGGTGGCTTCCTGTTGGTATGGAAAAGAAAAGAAAGTATAAAAAAAATGAAAAATGAATGAATGAATGGATGAAATGAAATGAGAGGGCTGGTCAAGTGAGGATTAGACCGGTCGGCCAGGTATGGAGATCGACTCCCTGGTGCACATGCCTGAGAGGAAGGGCCATGTGTGAGGACAGCTCATCGGGGGGTATCGGTGACGCCACAGAACAATTTCCACGTGATGTGGTTATGTGAAGTTGTTAACAATTGTGAGTGCTGTTGTTATGCCATTTGTGTGATTGTCAGCGTGATCATATAACTAGTCGGATGACTAGATTGATATATTTACACATTCGTGTGAATTCTGGATGACTAGGATTGATATTATTTACACATTCGTGTGAATGCCATGTGTAGATTGATATATTTACACATTCGTGTGAATGCATGTATTGTGCAATAATTATTATTCCTTAGAAAACTCACATGTCTTGTTTAACTTTTTAGGAAGTAAGTTGTTCTTTATTCCATTTTAAGTTCTGTTTTTTCACTGCGGAGCTAGAAAGAAATTTTCCTCGTTTCAGTGATTATTTTGCTATATGACTATATGTACAAGGACCTATTTATATCTTTCTGTTAGTGAACTCCGCAATTATATGATTTATGTACCTCTAGTTGTGTATTAATATAAGTGTAAAAATTTTATGAGCCCATATTATAAATGTAATGCATTACAAATTGGGCTCGATCTATGAAATGTGTAAAATGTTAAATTTGGGACCGAAATATAATATAATTATGAAGTTTATTACGCATAGTAATATGGGCTGAATGTTAGAAATTCATATTGAGACAGTTGAATTTTAGTGATTCAAGCTTACTATGGACCTTGGGAGCCTTAAGCTTACTTGAGCCCTAGTGCCGGTGTGGCTCATGGAAATGGGTCGTGACAAGTTAAGACAAAAAAAAAAAAGAAAAATTACATTTTATTATTTGGTTGGATATAATTTTTAAAAATTATTTTTAATAACTAAAATAATTATATTATATATATATATATATATAAAATAAAAAAGGAAAAAAGTATAGTTTTTTTTTTTTTTAGTATGGTTGTAGGGAAAAAATTGTGTTTTTTTTTTTTTTTTTGTATGGTTGTAGGAAAAATTGTGGATTTATTTGGAGATGATATAATATTTCTTTTATGTAATCTTTTTTTATTACTTAATTAACTTATTTATTTATTTTAAATTTGCAACTTAGAATAATAGAGAATAAAATACTTGAATAAACTCATTAACTGACCAATAATGGATCCTAGCATGATTTGCTTTATAAATTTCATTTATTGACTTAGCTTCATTTTTTTTTGGCCATCAAAATCAAATTTAATTAAATTATAGCATTTCTAGGGTTATTTTGAAATTCAAATTGGTAATTTTTTTAATATAATTTATTTCTTGTTAATGTTGAGTTCTTAAAATAGTTTTATTCTCAATAAAAATTTATTATTTATTATTTTCTTTTTCGTTATTGAATTAATTTGTAATTACTGTCACTTCAATTTAGTAAGAGATTTATATCTCTCTTGCAATAAATATATGACCTTCTGATTAAACATTTTTAATTTTCTTGATATTTTTTTCTTTTATATCCCAAATATGTTTGACTTGAAAGAAAATAATGTTTATGAAATTGAAAAAAATAGAACTATATATTTCTGTTTTTGGTCTTTTTTTGGATTTTAAGAGTTTGTATGTTCATATATTCCTCTCTCTGATGCACTGGATAAGTAATACTATCACTATAACTAAAATGATTACATTTATCAATTCAGATCATCTTCTCATTTTTTTTTCCTAGCAATAAAAAAATTTATTATTATTTTTCATTATAGCTGTATATAAATATTGCATTGGGATTGAGTAATAACTTGATTTTCTTTTTTAGCACCTATAAGGGTTTTACGAATCTGCATTTATAAATTAAGGACTAAATGATTAGATATAGGGATCAGATTGAATTTTATTTGGAGACCACTTCATTATATAAAAATAGAATCAGGTATATAAGAAATAACATTGCAAGTAATTTATACAGTAAAGTCTAATATAAATTAACCAATTGTATTTTTTTTAATCTAAATAAAAACTTATGCTTTAATGTTATATAGATAAAAAATTAAAAGAACAGAAAAATGAAAATATAACGAGCATTGTCAAATCGAACAGAAAAAAATTGAAAATATAACGGCATTGTCAACTTTAATCTAAATAAAAACTTATGCTTTAATGTTATATAGATAAAAAATTAAAAGAACAGAAAAATGAAAATATAACGAGCATTGTCAACGTGCAATGCACGTCATAAAAAAGACTAGTTACTATAAATGCGACAACAATCATAAACTATAATTTGTAATTTTAAATTCAACTAATTAGACTATATTTTAGGTAGAGTATATAATTTAAATAACTCAAACCCTGTTTTATGGTAGATAATTAGATATAGATAAAGTTCAGTAATTTAAATAATTCGATATAGATAATTTATAATAAAACATTAATCAAAATACTTAAATTGTCCAATCACGACACAGAAAAATAAAGAAGAATTTTAAAAATTTCTAAAAAAAGAAAAATACAATGTTGAACAAAGAAAGAGAGTTAAACTCTCTCTTTATTTCAGCTTTTATATAGATAGATTTGCATTTGAACATCAAAAAAAAAAAAAAAAAAAAAATTAGCGATCTCTTAATTATTAGGTCCATTCATTAAATTTTTCAATTGTTAAGATTATATTGATTAAACACTATAATAACAAAGTCGTATATATAGAGTTTAATTTTTAATTAATAATTAAATATTTGATATAAATTGTTTAGATAATATATATATTTTTAATTATTTGATGAGTTTTGAAAGCATACACTTTTATAAATCAAAGTCCATCGATCCTATTTCACCGCAAAGCCTGCTGAGATAGCGTGGTTTGGTCTATCAAGTCCCTCAGGCATGACCATTGTAGTTGTGAATGGAGGTGTCAATGCTTGTGGTTTAAAAATGGAGTCTCAGTCTCCTCCCACTAAGTATTTCATCCCAAAAATGGAAATCAATTAGAGTTTTATGTAGTCTTACTAAATTGTTTTTCATTAAAAAAATGAAATTACTATACTCATCAATTATAATCAAGGAGAATTTGTCAATAGAAATTTGATTTAAAAAAATGAATAAATCAAATAATTAATTCAATCATTAATGATTTACTACTAAAGTCTTAATAAAAAATAAGCTATTACTTTCTAGTTAATAAGAGCATTAAATATAATAAAACATAATAATTGAATAACTCTATAAAATTTAACTTTTACACGTATTTTATGAATTTATCCATCATTGTTTTTGTTAATATTGCTTTTAAGCTGGTTTAAATTTTATTACTTATTTAATATAATTTTGAATATTATCTAAAAAATAAACAATAATAGCATTAAGCATAATCTAACGATCAAATTAATTACAATTAATATTTTTCTTGTATTGATTAATTTTTTCCATTTTTTTGTTTAAAAGAAAATATTTATTCAAAACGATTTGCTTAATACATATAGTAGAAATAATAGAGAAAAAATCTATAGAAAAAAAAATCTATGTTGAAAAATATGCTTACTTAAAGAATAACTAATTTTTGAGACAGAACGGGATAAAACGGAATTTGGGTCAATATGAGTCGATTTTAATTAAAGAAACGAGTCTTCGTTCCAAACTTAGTTTCGAGACGGTCTAGGATGAGACTATTAAATTAATATCGGATTTTTTTCAGAATGAGATATTGTTGGAGTATGTGAGTAATCTCATATCGGATAAATACAACTAACTAAAAAGAGCATATAATGTGAAGGGTGAACCAACCAAAATGGCTTAGGCTATTTTGGCTTAAAGGTAAGCTTAACATGAATAAGACCAATATTAAATATATAATTGAATTTGATTTGATTAATTGCTCCTAGGGCTTAGATGATCAGATTCTCAACAGATATTCAAGGATGGTTTTCGAGAATGGGTGGGGATTTCCATAGTCCCGTGAACATCCTATTCACTCCACCAATTTGATAGCTTCAGAAATTATTAGTGAAAAAAACAATTTGTGTTTAAACTTTGTTACTAATTAAGGATCAAATAAAGAGATTAAATGATGATTGTATGATTATTGTTTTGTGGAGAATTCTGATTGTTCAATAGTGAAATTGGCTAAGAGGTGCAAATGAGCCTTTCTTCATGTAATTTGTAGACCAAACTTAGACAACCGTTGGTTATTTGATGTGTGTTATTGGAGAGATTTAGACGGTGTTTGACAATAATTTTTTTAGGTATTTTTAACATTTTAACTAGTCAAAATGCTAAATACTATTTTTTATAGTATTCGGTGACACGACGTTTGAACTACCTTTTAAAGATTAAGATAGCATTTTATAAAAAGTTAATCCATACAATGTTTAACTTTTAGCGTTTCGGAAAAACTACTCAAATAACTAACACTTAAACCCTACTAAAACCGTTAATAGCTATCAAGACAACTAATTTTACTGAACAGACCCTAAGCCGATAAGTCATTTATCCCTGGAAGTTGTAGATACACATTAGGAGAATATCTTCTCAGTCCTGAGCCCAAGCATAGGTTCATCAAAATTATATAACTATATGTATGTATATATAAATAATGATGTCATGGATATCATACATCAAATTTTGCATCAAATGGAGACATTTTACATCGATGAGGAATCCATGAAATGGCCATGAACTCCTGCCTTCAAAAAATACAGGGAAAGAAAAAAAGAAATGAAGATGACCTCCCACATTGATGTAACTGAATCAGAAGCCTATTTTCAACTTTCACAAGTTGCTATCTCATACAAATGTTACGTTCTTGAAAAAAATTAAATTACTTCGAAGAGATAGAGCTTTTGTGATTAAAATTTTAAAATCTTGATGTAATAATCTTCATTCAACCTTTTTCTTTAGCTTCCAAAGCCTTACTTGTATATTATTCCAAGACTTCAGTTGGCCAAAGTTGCTTCCACCTGGAAATTTCTTCATTGGCATTTAACTTTCTGATTCCTCCATAGAATCCATCTGCTTCATTCCCTTCCTCTCGATGTTCTTTTCTATTGATCATTGTACATCTCCACCTTGACCCTCTAGTGTACTGATGGAACTCCAACACTATAGTATCTGTCAACAAATATTTTTGTTCAATTTAGTTCAATGGTGTAATAAAATTATATATTTCGGAACATATTTATAAAAGTCTATTCAATTTCTCTATCCTACATCGTCTGTGCAAAGACTTCATGATCGACGCAGGACCGCTAAATTTTCTCTATCCATAGTTTTGCAAGTAGATGGAAGATATTTAGATGTTGCATAGTTCTTTTATTTGTTGTCTTATTTTCTCCTTTCTATTCTTTCTTCTAATTATATGTACTTGTCCATATGTCTCCAATTTTTTCCTTGAGTGCTTGGTGACATGAGATCACACAAGAATTAGATGTTACCAACCAAAATTATGGAAAACCAAAGGGTATAGAAAAGGAAGGAAACATTGAATGACATCATTTCTCAAATCTGAAAAGTCACCCCACTAAGAATAGACACTTCGAGGTAGCTAACCAAAATGAAATATGCCATTTTCATGCCCCAGACAAAGCCTAAGATAAATTTCTGTCTAGACAATCAGAGAAATGGGAAAGAAAAGCTGAAAGCCAATCATCAGATAAGAGGGCTTTTTGAATTTCTTTTTTTTTTTAGTACTCATTTGGCCTGAAGCTTTCATGGGAAAGTTCTTAGAGCTAATCTGTAATGTCTAGTTGGATTTGGAAAGAATATTGAATATAATTTGTCAGATAGGATTTCATTTTCTTATTTGGTTCACAAGAAACCCAATTCTCAAAATAGATTTTATAATAACTTGAATTTATATTAAAAGGACATTATGTTTAGTATAAATTTGAAGATTATCATTAAATTCATTAAATTAAATTTAATTAATTAAAAAATAAACTTGAAATAAGATTCTTGGTATCTAGACATCTATTTCCATTATCATCTATTTTTTAAACCAATTAGATGTGATTGAGATTAATGATGTTACTAATATACTTTTATCAAGTTGAAAGAAGCAAAAGGAGAAAGGGTCCAGAGCTTTTATATATAAATATTCCTCTTTATCAAGTTGAAAGAAGCAAAGGAAAAAAGGTCTACTCTGGTGATGGAACTTGACTGGTAGGTCATGTGGTGGATGCAGTTTGCTTAAAGACAAACGAGGTCCGTTAGATATCAAAGAAGATAGAAAACTGAATGAAATATTTTCAAGCTAACAATAAGGATTGCAGCCTCCACATAGGAAAAAGATTCCAACTTAGCAAACAAATGGTGGCCTATGAGAGACACTATGTTCTTTCAATGTGGTTGGCTATAAATATTCTACAGAGACAAAGGTTATCACTATGTTGGTGGAAGGTATAACATACTGACAGGGATTTGTCTTGGGGACCAATCAGATGGCATAAATTTGTGGTCCACTTACTGAAAAATAGGAGTCAAGAAAAAGACTTGCCTGAAAATGGGTCTAATGTGTGAAAATAAACTTTACATCCATCTCATCCACATTTTAAGAGGAAAATATTTTAATGGCATCTTTTCTTCAACTTGAGAAAATAATATTCAACTATGCTTCATTATTTAATCTCTCTTTCCTTCTTTCTTCTCTTTCTTTTCTCTGCTTCCAAAATGTTTGGCTTGTGTCTCTTAATGTCACTAGACCTCATAGCAGAAGAACTTTATGTTCTTGGGTTTAAACAATGCATTGGTTAGGTTCCCAAGTTACAGTTTTCTTATTCTCTAATCTTATTGGGAATCACATGGAGCATAAACTATAACTTTACAAGAAAAAGAAAAAGAAGAAAATGAACTCACCACTATTATGACACCTGCAATAATTTTCATTCCCATCACATGGCTCCAAGTGACCTACAACCCCATACCACCAACCTGCAAATGCATATATGGCATATTTTTAATCAAATATGTTAAACCACTCCAAATGTTATTAATGAATTCCACTTCTACATACTGCAAACTATAAAAAATGCTTTTATACTTATCTAGGGATGTGTATCAAAAAATTTAGAAGAATAAATTAAATAAGAAAATTGGTCCTCTGCTGTCTCTGGCTCTTGCTGCCAGGAAAAGTATTTTCTCTGGAAAATTTGCACAGAATTTAGAGTTCATCAATATAAAAACCATTTATCAGTTTCTTTTCTTTTCCAGTCAATGATGTGATGATTAATATTGAATTTGAAGTTGAACAACAACTTTGCATTGGTTACAGAAAATCTTAGAAAATAAGGAATGGGAAACCATTTTTCACATTCCAGACATGTGTTCATATTTCAATGCTTATCTATATGATTTACCAACTAATAATGAAAAAACACCTTTGAGTTAATATTCTGATAGATTAAAGCTATAGAGAAATACTGAAATCATGTCGAATAGATTTAGTGATTGAGCACAAACCATAAGGGAATTCTTTGTTTCTTCTCCATTGAATCTCAATATGGTCACCAGGGCGTAAATCATTCAGGCAATCAGAGATATGTAGATGATGTGGTGAAGTATCAATCGGTGGTGCTCTAAGCCTTTCCCATGGCACACCAGTTTCTATAGCAATTGCTCTCCTACCATGTGGTGGGTACCTAAAATGGACAAACCATATGAAATTCACTCCACTCAATCAACTTAACCATATTTGGATTCCTTTCCTTATTCAACACTGGAAGGAACATCAACAATGTTTACACTTATACTACTTATCCAACAAGGACAATCTGTCTTCCATTACCTGGCTTGGAATGTATTGGTCCGAGGATCATAGCTAAGTTCAGCATCATAGCAAGATAACATGAATCCAACATGCCCATTCTGCAGAAGATTACACGCAGAATTTGTTATTAGTAATTTTTTTTTTTTTTTTTTAAATGAATCACAAAGGTCATTAGTAATTCTCAAACTAATTATTCAAATTTAAGCTCAAAGCAAGCCAATTCATAACTGAAAGCTTACAAAGTCTAATTCTTCACACATAAATCTTCGAAAAATGGTCAAATTTATGCTTAAGCAATTCAAAATGGAAGCATGATTAATTAATTCTTCACACTTACATCCTCCAAAAATGATCAAACTTAAGCTCAAGCAAAGCTAATTCAAGAATTGAAGCTAATAAAGTCATAATTATGAATACCTCACGATTATAGACCTGAGCAGGGAACCAGAACCTGCCGGTTTCAAGGGCAAGATACCAAGACATGATAGAATCAACAGGCAAGGAACTCTTTTGCTTGACATTATTATCATCTTCCATTGAATTCATCCAAGAAAAAGGCAAAACTATAGAAAGAAGCCTCATCAATTTTTTTTGCTTGCCTTGTTTGCAGTTATCGAAATCTTTGCTTGCAGCTATATTAAATTGCCACTTTCTATAAGCAGCGGGACCGATAATCTTACCCCATTTTTGCTTCATATGCCTTTCCCATAAATGATTACTGATACACCTTTCCCTCAAAGAAGTGCATACACCTGCCATACTACAAAGCCCCGCAGGTGGTAGCCTCTCAAGAATGCAATCCAAAGTTAAATCTGGTAAGTCTAAAAATGTAATCTCTCCAGTCTCATCATCCACAAGATTTTCTAGTTCTACAGTGGAAGTACTTAAGGTGGTCATTTTCTTCGTAGACATTTTTGAAGGAAGTCTAGTGAAATAAAAAGCTTTGGAAAGGGTATTCTTTACAGAACACAAATAAGGAAAAAGAAACAACTCTTTCCAAAACCAAATTGACAGCAATCTAACTTCAGTTGCCCATGAAGGAAGTGGCTTCAAATGGAGAGACTTTAAAAAGATAAAGGAGAAACAAGTGATCAAGAAGTAGAGTAACATCAGAGGATAAAAAGGGGAAGGGAGAATTCTATTTGGAGGTCAAATTTATGATAGGCATGGTTTATACATAAAATGGAAGAATGATCTAATGCCGCAACAAGTTGTGAAAAAAATAAAAAGCAATGGTAAAAAAAGAAAAAGAGAAGACCCAATTGTCTTCTTCTTCTCCTTCTCCTGCCTCTCTCCTTCCCTCAACAACACCCCCACCCCACACCTTAAAAAACAGACTAAAGTGGGATCTTCAAGAAAATTTTTAAAAAAAAAAAAGAAAGAAAATACCTTTCAAGAAATGGGTTCTTATTGGTTATGAGAAAGCCCACCAAACCCAACCAGTGGGCCTCCTCCTCAAAAGTCTAATTAAGAATCAATGAAAGTGAGAGTACTAATATGTGCTAAACACTGCAAAGAACAAATTCACTTTGGTAAGATGTCACCTTAAAACCCAATTAAGAATCCAAGTGAAACAGTAACAACACTTGTTTCCTCTCTTTATCTGGGTTTGAGAATAAAGATGATGGTGCCTAAAAAGGTGTCATCCAAAGAGAGGAAGAGAGAAGATGAACCCAGTGGAAGAGAGACCAATGAGGTGATGGTGGTGGGGTATCCAGATCTGGTACGGGTTTCTGACACCTGGAAATCCCAAGAAAAGAGAAAATAAAAATGAAAGATAAGTCTAGATACAGAGATCCATATCTTGAAAAAAATCCCAACTTTGGTAAAGCAAAATAAAACACAGAAATCTTTGAGTACAAATAATTATTGGTAGGGAGACAATACAGATCTGAGTTAGTTGGGATTGAAGCACAATTAGGTGCACCCAACAAAACTCAAGATCTGCGTTGAATTATACAAAACCCAATAAAGAACACACAACAAATAAAGACAAATGAGGTTAGGATAAGAGAAAAGAGAGAAAAAAAGGTTTTTTTTCGACGAAGAAGATGATCCAGATGAAGAGTGGGGTCCTCTTTTCACCTCACTTCATCATTTCTTCATCAAAAATACCCAAATAAACCCATCTCTCTATTTCTTTACCTCCTCCTCAAAATGCCAAACCCAAAAGAAAGTATGGAGATGATAAACATAGAAAAAGAGAGAGATGGGTATATTTAAGATATTGGATGAACGGTTATGGTTACAATGAAATTTGCGAATTTTTGCGTGGATAACAAGCATAAAAAATATAATAAAAAGAATAATTAAAAAAAAACAACTACCAATTATCTCTCTCTCTCTCTCTCAAATTATTTATCTTTCTGACAAAATTTGTAGTACCCAGAAAAGGAAACGGTTAGCTAACGTCCAACAAGATAACGATATGAAATTGGTGGTGGCTATAAGCCTATAATAAGATGTTACTTATTTGATTTCTCTTGCAGGTAGAAGTAGAACTGGCCATGGATTTTCTTAGTAAAGTTCTTCTCCATGAATAAGTGACACGTGCCCATTGTCACTGTACGGACAACATCGTCGAATTTGGTGTGTATTTAGATTTGCCATTGCCAATTTGCTATATGAATATCCATCCATCTACGCAGCTGGATTTTGTTCCTATGTAAAAGGTGTCTGCTTTTAGTTTTATGTAATAATTCCAAATTTGATATTAAAATAATAATAATAAAAAAAAGAATTGGTATACCTATAATCCTATATAATCAATCTATGGAATAAATAAAGAGGAGTTCTAACTAATTTCAATAAAGATGATATTAATATAGGAGTGATCAGACGGATTTGAATAAATAAATAACATTAAATTTATCTTGATAGATAAGAATGAAAAAATAGGTAAATTTAACTGATACGATATTAATTACTCGCTTTGATCTATTTAGATAAAGAAATTTAACTTTTCACACGAATTAAGAAGTTAGTTTAACTGTAATTTTTACTTATATTTTTTCTTGTTTGCCCCCAAATCAAAATTAACTCCTCAATTTTCTATGCAAGGCCATACATGTAGGAGAGAGAATTTTGGTGCATTTAATGAGGGATTAAAGATTTCATTTAGTTTTAGGTTGTAATTAAGTGAAGAAAAACATAAAATAGAAAGTTAGAAGTGATTGAAAGAAGATTTGGTATTCTAAAAAAAAAAAAAAAAGATTAAAAGATTTCATTTTAGTTTTAGGTTGTAATTAAGGTGACACCAAGAAAAACATACAATAGGAAAGATAGGAAAAGTGATTGAAAAGAAGATTTGGTAGTTCTTAAAAGAAAAAAAAAAAGAACCAATAGTATATGGCAATAAAAACATAAAAAATTTTGAGAAATTAAATTTTGGTCTTTACAAAACACTCAATTTGAAGTGGAATGAAAATTTCATGCGCAAATTTCTTTGTGCATTTGGTAGCAAAGATTTTTTATTCTTCTTGAAGAATAAAAGGAAGTCTTCTTCAAAAATTCCACAAACGAGTGCTTATATAAATAAGACCCAATATCTCGACGAACTGAAAACCAACTCCATTTAGAGATTCGAATATGAAACTGACCCAAATTGTTTTGATCTTAAACAGGTCCTAGCAAACTCGTCACTTCAACTAAAGAAAGATGCTGCCTTATATCAAAACGTCACTCATAGATCTTAAATTTATTTACCCACTGAGATGAAACATGATTTTGCAACGTTAATCTGCATCGTACAACATTTAAATAGTGTTCCCACAAATTGACAAGAACAGAGGAAAACAAAGGAAAAAATATTTGCTCAAAAACGGTTAAAATAAATTTATTCGTAAAATTAATTGGCTTATCGACATTGGAACAAGGTGAGTCAGCATTGTGAAATATTGCACACGTATTTGAACAAGTTCGCAAACGTATTATTCAATTTCTACTGAAGTCTAGTCTATTTAAAACTTCTATGTGATGCTAAGATGAGTCGGAAGTTACTGTTGGAATGAAATTGTCCTTAGAAATAATACTAAAAAAAAAAAAAAAGAAAATAGATATGGCAATAAAAATAAAAAATTTTGAAAATTAAATTTGGTTTCAAAACTAATTTGAAGTTGTGAATGAAAATTTATGCGCAATTTCTTTTTGCATTTGGAGCAAATTTTTATTCTTTGAAGAATAAAGAGTCTCTTCAAATTCCACAAACATGCCTTATATAAATAGACAATATCTCACAACTGAAACCAATCCATTTAGAGATTCAATATGAACTGACCAAATTGTTTGATCTTAAACAGGTCCTAGCAAACTCGCATTCAACTAAAGAAGATGTGCCCATATCAAAACTCATTCATAGATCTTAAATTTATTCCCACTGAAGAAGAACATGATTTTGCAAGTAATCTGATCGTACAACCATTAAATAGTGTTCCACAAATGACAAGAAGAGGAAACAAAGGAAAAAATATTTCTCAAAAAGTAAAAAATTTTATTCGTAAAATATTGCTTATTGACATGGAAAAGGGTGTGAAATATGCACACAGTATTGAACAAGTTGCAAACGTATTTTCAATTTCTATGAAGTCAGTCTATAAAATTTAGTGAATGCTAAAGATGAGTCGGAAGCTACTGTTGGAATGAAATGTCCTTAGAATAGGGCAAGAAATGAGTTGAAGTCCCTTATGAAACGATAAAACAAATCCCTTTGAGAAGAAGAACCACCATTCGTTTTCTTTCTCATGAACTAGGCCATTTACTATCATGTGTGCACAGACTCATAAAAATGGGCAATATCAAAGCACACTCTAATGCAATCAAGCCATTTCTAAAGGATGAGAACAAAAGCAACAGAGTTTAATTTTGCCTTTCGATGCTTGATGCAGGTACAATTAACAATAAATTTTCATTCTTCAACACGAAAAATGTTATTCACATTGATAAAAAATGGTTTTATATGTTTTTGCAACGAAATGCAAAAGTTTTATCTTAATGATGAGGATAAGCCTTTGTGCAAGTGCAAAAGCAAGTGCTTCATTCCTAAAATTATGTTTCTAGCAACAGTTGCTAGACCTAGGTTTGACACAAATGGGCAACTCATTTTCGATGTAAAATTGAGATTTGGCCTTTTGTTAACAAAGAGCAAGCTAGAAGGAATAGCAAAAATCGGGCGGCAGGAACAATGGAAACGAAGACAATCAATTGAATCACCAAAGATGTAATCAGAGACATCTTAATTGGTAAGATGTTGCCTGCAATCAAAGAAAAATGGCCACAAATGGGTTCAAATACCATTTTAATCCAACAAGACAATGCCAAGCCACATATAGATGTGCAGATGCTGAATTTGCACATGCAACATTTCAATTAGATTTAAACTTAAATTTGCTTTTGCAACCACCAAATAGTGTTGATTTAAATATTTTGGATCTTGGTTTTTTCCAAGCTATTGACTCAATAAAACACAAAGAGGCTCCTACAACCATTGACCAATTACTAGATGCAGTCACAAAAGCTTATGATATTTTCCCTCCACTTGAAATGAATAAGGTTTTTCTAATTTTCAGGCTTGTATCGTTGAGATCCTAAGGTGTCAAGGTGGCAACAACTACAACATCAAACACATGTCCAAGAACAACTTAATTAGGAACAATAGGTTGCCTATTGTGATTGAGGTAGACACTGACATTGTAAAGGAAACAGCAGCAGCAACACAACATCCTCTTGCAAATATGTTTACAAATTGATTATTATTGTCCTAGTTCTAGGTTATATGTTCAAAATTTCATTATTAGTGCCCTAATTCCTGAGTTTATGCATGTGGTTGCAATTAATATATGTTCACAATTAGTTTCACGTTTGTGATTCAGTATTAATATACGTTCATAGTTCTTCCTCCAAATTTGTGCTTAATTACTTTTATTTGCTCACCGTTTTATAAGTAGTGCACCAATTAATGGATGAGAAATTCTTAACACGCGGATATCTTTGTACATAAATGGACTCTAAAATAGTGTTGTCATATGAAAACCCTATCCCACTTAGTCAATCTGCATCTAAAGAAGTTGTGCACGTTTTAATTCCAACATGTTGTCTTTAGTACTTTAAATGCATTAAATGAGTATAGAATTTCTTGTCTACCACTACCTAGAAATTCTCCCATAGTCAGACCTGAAATGAAAAACAACACAAGGGTAATTTGGACTATTCACTTTGGTTAGCTTCCCAAGTTATCAAATAAGGTAAATTTCTCTATCTAAATAGAACACCTAAAAAGGAAAGTTTCTCTATCTAAATAGAATGGAGGTAGTACTAAGTAACTTAAATAAATATTATTGTTAAGCTCTCAGAAATTGAGGAGTAAGTAATTATGAATTAACTTGTCCTTGGGGTAAATTTAGAGTATATGTATTAGATGTTAATTTGAATTTATTTAGGAGTCTAATATTATTATTTTAATATATATTATTATTATATGTTAACAGTTATTATTATTAGACGTATATAAATGAGGAAAGTTAGTTGTAGTCATTCTTTGAAGCTGTCAGTTAATTCTCTCATTATTTTTTAGAAGAAATCAAACTAGAAATTTCAGTAAGAGGAAACAGTATACAGATTGTGATACAGATTAATATGTTTTTATATTTTTGTATAGGAAGTCTAATAATAAATCACTTATATAAAGAATAAACAAACAGATAATCATGATTTGAAGTATCTGATCGAGATAATATTTACGCCATAGCAATGGTCTTTCTACAAGTCCAATATGATTACCTTCAGATTTCTTTCTTCTATTGTAGAGGAGATATGCACTTCTTTCTGCATAATTATTCAAATAACAAATGACGCTAGGCAAAATCATCATAATGGTGATAACAATAACTCAAAATTAGATCTGAGAATAAAATCTCAAGATATGGGCAACATTGAATCCTAATATTTGAGTGACAATAACTCAGATCTGTATAAATCTAAAGATTTGAAAATTATTTTTAAAAAATAAATAAATAAAGAAAAAAGAGTGATCACGATGAGAGCTCATTGGTGGTTGAGAAAGGAGAGCTTTTAGAATTTTATATTTTGGGAGAAAGAGCGAGAAAGGGCAAGACCACTACCCGATGTATAACTAATTCAATCATGAACAATTTTAATTCTCTCTTTATTGATTGTTGAGACATAATGATTATTTTTTAAGGTGATATATTTCCTATTAAAATAGGTAACCCATTAATGTAAAAAGAGTTCAAAAGACAAGTTTCCTTCAACAGAGAAAAGAATGATAAGAAATTAAAATTTCAATGGATATGAGACTAACGTCTTAATATTTGTAATAATTAATTAT